CTCTTGTCCTTCTCTCTTCTCCCCTCCTCTCCTCTTGCCCATCTTCAATTTCTAGTTATCACTAGAACAGTGTTCCTCACCCTTGGCCACTTTTTTTTATATATATATATATAAACAAACATACATATACAGATGCAGACATTAAAACAAACTATACATAAACTAACTATACAGAGAAGTCAAGTCTTATAGCTTGAACTTTAAAAATAGAGCTACTTCGGTATATATATATCTATATATCTATGTATATTTATCTTTCATCATGTATCAATGTTTATACAACGATATTTCATTTTATTTCCTTATTTTTGAATCATTGGGTGGTATTCCCTTATTTTGTGTTCTTTTTATCTAACCAGTTGTACCATTTCTGCCAGATTAAAGCACCCTTGGCCACTTTTAAGATGCATGGACTTCAGGTCCCAGAATTCCCCAACCAACATGGGAAGTGGATTTCCGGAGTTGAAGTCTCTCCCCCCCCTCCCCATTTTAAACCTGCCAAGATTGATGCTGGCTGGGGAATTCTGGGAGTTGAAGTCCATGCATCGTAAAGTTGCCAAGGTTGAGAGACACTGCTCTGGGTGATAAATGCATGGTTTCAGCATGACAGTTGAGGCCAGCTTATTCCATTCCTTGACCTTTTGATGTCCATCATAATTCATGAACCGAATCTATATTATCAATAGGCCCTTCAGGGTAAAGTCCACGTAGGCTTTGCAAAATCCACTCATTTCTTCCTTTGGAATGATCCCATTCAGAAGTCAGCTAACACATGGGAGCATTCAAGGAAATCGCATTTGCTTCTTTGTCATCCTTGAATAAAGCATGCATGGAAGGTTTCTTTTCATTAATTCATTTTACTGCCTTGCCAACTATCAGGGATGATCAGGGATACTTCATGAAACTTGAAACCGAACACCGAACCAAATGTAGGACCAAAGCGATGGGCAACCACCATAAAAAACCATTCAGAACATTGCCAGGAGCAAATATGAAGTTTGGGCGACTAGCGCTACGAAATTGAGAGGTGAAAAGACGCACCTAAAACAAAATATTGATTTTTGCTTTTCCAAGGGAGGAAAAAAAAGGGGGAGGGGAGACTTTTTCAGATTTGGGGTGCTGGTAATATTTTAAACCAGCCTTTTCCAACTGGATGCTCACCAAAAATGCAATTCTACCAGAATTCCTCATTAACGTAAGGAAATGCAACAATCAGAATTCCTTAGTAACATAAACAATCGAGCCAGACCCTTCCCCATCAATTCTGGTGTGTCTAAACATCTAGAAAACCCCGCTTCCCTTCACACTGATAACACCACCTAGCCTGGAAATGAAACGTCTCCAGGAAAAGAGTCAAGCTCAGAGAAACCAGGAATTCAACAAAACGGGATTTGCCTTGGAAATTCTGGGAATCCAGACGCCCAGATCTTCTGGAAGAATTCTGGGTGAGAAAGATCCTTCAAGCGAACTTGTCTCCTTTATAAGCAAACGTGGTTGATAAAGAAGATCACTTCAACTTTTCATGATGCTTCAGAACTCAGACCAAGTAGGATCTTCACAAGCAGTGAAGACACCTTCAAACGATGCCTATTCTCTCCATCTGAGGAGTAAATGTCATGTTTCCAAAACAGACTTTCTCAAGCTTGGCAATTTTAAGATGTGCGGACTTCAACTCCCAGAATTCCACTAGTAACATCCTCAGTGGCAGTGAGTGCTTCCTGTATACAGGTAGTCCTCAACATACAACAGTTCATTTAGCGACAATTCAAAGTTGCAACGGCCCTGAAAAAAGCGACTTATGACCGTTTTTCACACTTACAACCATTGCCTATGAACAAAATTTAGACACTAGGCAACTGACTCATATTTATGATGGTTGCAATGTCCTGGGGTCATGTGATCAACTTTTATTTATTTTTTTATTTATTTATTATCAGATTTATATGATATTTTTCAACCTTCTGTCAAGCAAAGTCAACAGGGAAGCCAGATTCACTCAACAACCATGTTACTAACTGAACAATTGCAGCGCTTCATTTAACACTTTTGGCAAGAGAGGTCGTAAAAGGAAGCAAAATTCACTGAACAACTGTCTCACAGAAATGCTGGACTCCACTGTGGTCATAAATCAAGGACTACATCTATACCAGGGGTCTGCCACCTTAAACACTCAAAGAGCCATTTGGACCCGTTTCCCACAGAAAAGAAAACACCGGGAGCCACAAAACCTTTCCCGTGCTTGACTATTTCTTGAGCGGCCACAAAACTGGCATATGTAGTTGAATTAAACGTTCTGTTTTCTTCTGAAGCTTTTCTTTTCTTGGATTTATCCATGGTTGGCCTACCGGGGGTTGAAAAGCTCAATAAATTGCATGCCAGCGGGTGTCGCACATTGGCGGTTGTGACTCATATTTTGAGTGACAGGGAGCCGCAGCAGTGGGGTGAAAGAGCCACATGCGGCTCCAGAGCCGCAGGTTGCTGATCCCTGATCTATACAGTAGTTTGTCTTGCCAGTGTTAATAAGGGAAGAAGTTTTCTCCTCCTTGGTAGTCCCTTGACTGAATGACCAAAGCACCTCCTCTCCAAACGCCAACTCCCAGATAAGCAGGGATGAACACCAGACAAACAAACAGAAAACAATATCTTAATAATAATAATAATTTAAAAAAAAACAGCTACCGGAGAGAAAATTACACTTCTGCCAACATTGGTAAGGCAAGCTACTGTTTACAGACAGGGAGCAAACCCTACACCCGCTGGCACAGGTGATGTTACCTAATTGGGTGGTGAGATGTCTGCAAACAAACCTCCAAGCTCAAAGAGCACCAAGGACCCCCATGGTTCAATTCCCAACTATTGCAGAATCCCTTCTGCTAGAGACTTAAGGAAAGTCAGCAGCCAAACTTTCTTGGGTGGGTGGGGGAAAGAAAGACCCCCCTTCCCCACTCTAGCTTTTGCAAGGACAGATGACTACCCCTCTTTAAATCATCGACCCGCCAGAGAAATTAAAACGCGTGGGGTATTTTCCCCCCCATCCCTCTCCTAACATCCTTCTCAAGCTAGCTGTCCCGCGGGGGAAGGGGGTGGTGGGTGGGAAAGGGGGAAGAAAATCGATCGCCAACAAACACCGAATAATAGGGTCCTTGGGGTGTCGGAGCTCAGATCGGAGCGACTTTCGTTTTTTTCCAACCCCCCCCTCCCCACCCGGTGGTTCCCCCTCCCTGCCTTCGCTTTTTCCACGCTTCCCTCCAGCTGGCAGAAAATGCAATCGGGCCGGTGGGTCCAAACTCACTTTCTTGGCACCGCACACCCCCCCCCGAAAAAAAGGACTTCCCCCCCCCCAGCCTTCACCAAGGGGCGCCCCTATGCAATTAGGGGAGGGGGATGCAAAGGAAACTAACTGTTCTTTGGAAAAGCAGCGCGGCCGGGCAAACTTACCTGGGAATCCTTTTTTTTTTTCCTCCCCCGTGCCTGGAGTGGGTGAGACTTTACTTCCGAGTAAACGCGGCCGGCTGCGAGGCGGAGGAGCTGCGTCTGTCTCCCCCCCCACTCCCACCCCGCGGCCAAGGAGGACGTGCCGTTTTCCGCCTGCAGAGGGCGCTCCCGATCCAGGTTTGTCTCCAAAGCCAGAAGTCCATTAGGTTGTATAAGATGTAGTGGATTCCAATCCGACTTTCACTTTCTGAGATTTCTTTTCCCTTCCTCTCCCACCCGCCCCTCGCCCATTTCCCCCCCCCTTCAATAAGTAAATAAAGAAAGAAAAACCGGTTGGCTAATGGGCGTAAAAGAACCACAGGAGAGAGAGAGAGAGAGAGGTCCCTGCGCAGCCCGCCAGACCCCTGCTCCTCTTCGCGCAGACCTCTTTCGAGGAGTAGGCGTGGAGGAGGGGAGGGGGGGGAACCTAGAAATGAAGAGTCCCCCCTCTCTCCCCCTCTCTCATTCTCTCCCCTCCTCTCGCTCTCCTCTCTCTCTCTCTCTCTCTCTCTCTCTCTCTCTCTGTTTCTCTGTCTTTCTCCTCTCTCTCTCCTCTCTCTCTTTCTTTCTCCTCTCTCATCTCTCTTCTCTCTCTCCTCCTCTCTCCTCTCTCTCTGTTTCTCTGTCTTTCTCCTCTCTCTCTCCTCTCTCTCTTTCTTTCTCCTTCATTCTCTCTTCTCCTCTCCTCCTCTCTCCTCTCTCTCTGTTTCTCCTCTCTCTCTCCTCTCTCTGTTTCTCTGTCTCTCTCCTCTCTCTCTCCTCTCTCTCTCTTTCTTTCTCCTCTCTCATTCTCTCTCTCCTCTCTTTCTCCTCTCTCTCTTTCTCCTCTCTCTCTCTCCCTTTCTTCTTCCCGCTCCGACCCCCCCAATCCCCTCCCCCTCGCCAAACCTTGCGTCTCCTTCGCCTTAGAGACCGCCAGCCGGGTTTGGGACTCCCGACCCAACAATCCGTCCCACCCTCCCCTCCGACTTCGCATCAACTCACTGATTCTCCGTACCCCCAAAACAAAACAAAACAAAGCAAAACAAAACAAACCGAGGGGACCTAGCGCCTGGCCTGCACAAACCGCCCTCCCCCCCCTCCTCACAATTACTTGGCTTTTGCTAGAACCGAGTTGCACGTTTGCCCAGGCGGGAAACTTTAATGGCACCCGTCCCCACGTTTTCAAAGAAAGTTCAGTTCTGATCAGCCGCAAGGCTCTAGCGATCCTTAAAGCGATGGGGCGTTTAAAAAGCCTATTCTGAAACGCCTGCCCCAAATCAATAGAAAGCATCCCCCCCTTTCCGCAGAGGGTCTCTCTCTCTCTCCCTCCTTCTCTGTCTCTCTCTCTCTCTCCATCTGTCTGTCTGTCTCTCTCCTCTCCTCTCCTCTCCTCTCTCTCTCCGCGCTTCTTTCTTGTCCACAAAGCCGTGATGGATATATACACATATATTTTCCTTAGAAAAGCAGGGCTGCAAGTGTCAAAGGACGTTTCTCCCCCCTCAAAATAAATGCAAATCCAGTTCCAGCTGGTGTCGGAAAAAGGGTAGTCAAAGTGGCAACAGTTTATTAGCCAAAAATATATATATATATATACTTTCTTGTACAGTTTGGTTCACACAGTTATGTACATTTTGGGGGCGCGTGTGTGTGCGTGCGCGCGCTCTCTCTCTCTTGCGCGTTTTGCTCTATATACAAAAAAAGGAAAGGAACGCCTGATTTCTCACCCCAGACTTCACCCAAAAAATACTTCACGAATTCAGCTAACCCAGATGAGTTAACCGAAATGGAGTTCTGCCCCTCTCACACACACACACACGCACGCTTGTTTGTTCCATTTAATACACAGACATGCGTACGAGCTGTAACTATACAGATAATTTTATTTTACAACCATTAGAACAATAATTAAAAATAAAAAAAAATAACTAGGATGATGACAACGCTGATAGAACCATAGCTGCATCAAGTTGGTTCTGAGGCCTACAAGGAAAAAAAAAAAAAGATATAGAAAATACAGATTTGGGTACGTGTAGATGAAATGCCAATAGATCCCCTCCTTTGAGTTTGAGCTAATATTAGCAAAATGCTAATCAAGGTTTCCTGGGATACTGGCAGAGTTTTCTTTCTTAATTTAAATTTATTGTGGAATTAGCATTTGAAGGGGGAGAATGACATCTCCCTTGGCCCCTCAGCCATAAAATAAAACCATGGGCCAGTCTTGAAGGCGTTGGAATGCTTTTAATTAATTCGGCAATACCACATTAATAGGACTTCTTCACTTTTACAGGGGCACCAATGGATTCTGGACCAAACCCTTCATTTAATATGATTTTAATTACGAAAAAGCAGACCGCCACACAATTTGCAGCTGCTTGTTAGCTTCCCACTTTTTATTATTATTATTATTATTATTATTCTCCTCTGTGTGTACTTGCATTTCTCCTTTCTGTTTTCAAGAGATTCATAAAAATCCCTCCCACCTCACTTTTTCTGATGTCAGTGGGCTAAAACATGCTTCATTCTCTTGTATTATGCCTATATTCTTTATACATACCCATAGAATTTAATTTTTTTTTAAAAAAAGTTAACATATATTTTGAAGCTTTGAAAAAGGGCCGGAGCCAAGACGTTTTATTTTTAGACTCAGATTTTGGTTTGCTTATTCCTGCTCGTTTATATTGAATGGTTTAAGTGGTTAATTATAAACTAACCTAACAGCTTCTTTCTCTACAGACACATTTTCTAATCAGTGTCGAATCTTTTATCTATTAAACCACTTTTTAAAATATAGTCCATTTTGAACTGCATTATGAACTGGAGGCCATTTATTCTAACAACAACAAAAATCAAACCCACGTTTGATTTACTTACACACATATTCACACAGAGAGACAACAGCTTTGTCTGAAAAACACCTCTATGTCTCCAGAGCAGAAAGATTTTTTTTTAAATATTTCGAGACATCAACATTAGTTGAGAGTAATTAGACTTAAAATCACTAAACGCAGATTAAAGTACAAAATTTAGGGTGAGGGGGCAAAGCGCCCCTTTTCAATCATTTCCTAAGAATCCCTCATAAGATCTTGATTGTGTGCTTGCAAGTAAAATTGCAACCACTTCCTTGACATTTTTTTTTTTTACTTTTGGGGAAATTAGGGAGCTGAGGGGCAATCCGACTAATTCAATTCCAAGTGAAACCGAATTTCTAAGCCAATGCTCCCGCTCCACTTTCCCCCACCCCGCCCCCACCCTATTAACTTTCCCTTTTCATATATCTGCTCATCTAGGAATAGATAAACTCTTACCGCCTCTGAACTGGCTGGAAAGCTGTCTTTATTAACTTTTTCTCTACATCCAAGGCACTAGATCGATCTAAAACAGACGAAAGCAAACAAAAAAAGAGAGAGAGAGAGAAATCCTTTTTGTATGTGTGCGTGTGTGATTGTTGTGTTTGCAAAACACCTTGGATCCCCCCCCCCTTTCTTCTATCCATCCCTGAATTCATCTCCTTCTTTTTAAGAACTTCATTCGCCCCAACAATATAACATCTGGTCCACAGTTCCCAAGTCCTCAGCCCATCCTGTTCTTTAATTCCACTTTCTTCCTTCTTTGATTCCCTCTTCTCCTTTCTTACTATTCAAGGCCCAACTCCATTGCCGAGCCTTACTTCCGAAGAAGGGGATAGGCTCGCATGAACAAGGGGGGTGAAATACTTCTAAGAGCCCCCAGACCTCCAAACCACCGCGTGGCTTGGATGAAAAGCAAATACAAACACCTTCAGGTGCAGAATCAGAGAAGGCAGCCACGAGAATTTTGCCCAATCCGCAAAAAAACAACAACAAACAATACACACCGTCAGCAGCAAGGAAAATAAGCTTTGGACTACAGAACCCCGCTTCTGCTTCCCACCCCCCCTGTTTGAAAACTGACTGGGGGGGGGGGGGGCTTTTTTTCAATCCGGTTTTCGTCACCCACGGTTCGATTTCATTGCTGATGCAAACAACAAACGAAGAAAACTCCTGAAACAAAGCAGAAGCTTGGCTTGGATAACCCCAGGAAAGCTTCCCCTTTTCCGGACACTTTTAGGCGAATGGCTTAATCTGGTTTTAAGGGAAGTTTTTTTTTTTTTTCCACCCGCAAAAAATACTTCTCGGCGCTCCCCACACCGATAAAATCAGATTAAAAAAAATCAGAAATAACTTCATTAATATATGTATATATTATGTGTATATGTGTATGTGTAGGGGTTTCAAATTCCCGAGGACTTTCTTCCCTACTTCTTCAAACCTTTTTCTGCCATTTTCCCACTCCCTTGTTTCTTTTTTTTTAAAAAAACCTATTGGCATATTTATTTGGGATATCTCTTTTTTTGTGTGTGCTCTTCATAACCTCCAGGTCCTCGGCTTCTAAGCTGGGGATCGTATTCCTGGCTTGTCTGGGTTCGCACGACCTACTTGCCCGCGCCCTGACCCGAACCGAGATCCCTCGGATCTTCCTCGCAAATTCTCCAGTCTTGCCCGACCGACAGGACCCCCACTCTCCCACCCAGCCCAGAGCTGGATCAGTACATCAAGCTAAACCAAGGGAGGAATGACAGTTTGGGGGGTTAGCAGGTCGTGGGAACGCAGCCACCGAGGATTCCGCGTTCGAGGCGCTTGTCCACTCAAAAAAAAAACAAAAAACAAAAAACAAAAAAAAACCACCTTCCGTGGGCCAAACCGGGTATAAAATCCAACGTCCCATCTTCCAGCCCCCCTCTGACCCCAAATCTATTTCAATCCGATTGAGAGGGAAAGGATGAACGGTTGACTTGCCCGCAGAGATCCAAGGGGGCCTCCACGCCCCCGCCCCCCCCCCCCAAAAAAAAACATCTTTCCAGCTTGCCCAATCCTCCCACACGACGGCTGGTTTAGCTTCCTCTCTCTCCTTCTCTCTCCCTCACCCCTCTCGTCCAGTGGTTACCTGTTCCGCAGGCTTCCGCGCTCGGCGCCTGGTCCGCCGGTCTGGAAAAAGCCGCCAGAGCCGCCGCCGCCGCCGCTGCTGCCGCCGCCGCCGCCGCCGCGGGCGCCGTGCTGGAGTTGCCCCCCGCCAGTCCCAAGAGATGGGGAGTGTTCAGCAAAGTTAGCGGGTGGGAGGCGTGCGGGGGGGCGGCCGAGAAGGGTCGGCCCGACCAGCCGGCGAATTTGCCCAGCGGGCAGGCGGAGACCAGTCTGTGCGCGGCGCCCGGGGCGGATTGGGGAAGGCATTGGGGGGCGTTCGGGGGGGACCCCCCTCCTCCTCCTCCTCCTCCACCGCCAGGGGGCGATTTCCGCGAGGGGTTATCCGGGCTGGTAGCCGTCTCTGCCAAAGACCAGATCTTGGGTTTGGGCGGCTGGACGGGCTGGGGAAGCGGGCTGGGGCTGCGGAGAGGCGGGGGTCCCGTCGAGGCGCGCCGCCGCGCCTCCACCGCCTTCAGGAAGCGCTCCTGAGCGCCGGCCAGCTCCTCGAAGCCGTCGGAACTCTCCTCTTCGTCTTCCTCCTCCTCCTCTTCCTCCTCCTCTTCCGACGTGTCGCTGCTGCCCGTGCGGGGCTCCCGCGGGGAAGGCAGGCGCAGCGCCGTCGGTTGCACGCCCTCCTGCTCCGCGCTCACCTCCCGGCCCTCTTCCTCTTCCTCCCCGACGTGCAGGAGCAGCTGCCCGGCTTGGGCCCCGGCTCCGGCCGCCGCTCCACTGGTCTCCGAGGGTTCGGTGTCGCTGTTCTCCAAGTCTATCTCCTCGTCGTCGGGGTCTCGCTTCTCCCCCTCGCCATCCTCGCTGCCGTAGGTCGTGCCTTCCTCGTCCTCGCTGCGGCTGCGGGGAGCCCAGGTCATCTTGTTCTCCTTCTTGAGGCGTCGCCGGGCGTTGGCGAACCAGGTGGAGACCTGAGTGAGGGTCATCTTGGTGATGATGGCCAGCATGATCTTCTCGCCCTTGGTCGGGTAGGGGTTCTTGCGGTGCTCGTTCAGCCAGGCCTTCAGCGTGCTGGTGCTCTCGCGGGTGGCGTTCTTGGGCCTGGAGGGGTCGCCGAACTGATACTGGCCGTAAGGGTAGAAAGCCGGGTGAGGGGCCGGGAAGGCCGCGGCTTGGACGCCGGGACTGTCCTTCAAACTCATACTGGGCGCCCTGAGCGATGGAAGGGAAGGAGAGAGAAAGCAGGTTAGAAGCAGGAATGGACACACACACACACACACACACACAGAGAGATAGATAGATAGATAGATAGAGAGATGAGAGAGGAGGGGGGGGGGGGGAGGGGGGGGGGGGGGGGAGGGAGGGAGAGAGAGAGAGAGAGAGAGAGAGAGAGAGAGAGAGAGAGAGAGAGAGAGAGAGAGAGAGAGATTGTTGCAAAAAAATACACCCTCCCCAAACATTGGTCGGTGGAGTCCAACAAACTCTCCAGGGACCCCCGTTTTATCCAAAAGTAACCGCTGGGAAATCTGGGGCTGCCTTCACACAACCTCTTTGTCCCCCTTCTTGGGATTCACCCATTTTCTCTTTCCCCCCCAGGTTTGTTTTAACGCGTCCGGCAGTAAACGAAGCGGGGGGGGGAGGTTGCTGGATTTCCCTCCCTGCAAAGGGGGGGGGGAAACGAAGCCTAAAAAACGATGGCCAACAACTTTTAGCAAAGGGGCTCCACAGAGAAGCCAAGCAGGATCCGATAACTGATGGGGTTGTGTGTGAAGAGAGCTTTTTAACCGGGGAATCCACAAGGGATTAAAAAGAGATTTTCTCCTTAACTAGGGGTCTCCGGGGAAGAGCGGAAGAAGCTTCTTTGGATGAGAAGCGAAACGTCTTCAAAGAAAAACCAGAAGGTGTTGGGGGGGGGGGGGGGGAAGCACCTTTTGGGTCTCCGGGTAAGGTTTGGCTGGAATCTGGAAAAGAGAATTTCAACCGAAGTCTCCCCGTTTTAAACCCCTTCAGATCTTTCAAAAGGTTTTCCTGAAACTCCTCACAGGCCCTTTTCTCATTCGACATTCTCCTCCTGAGGGGGAACAAACCATTTTCTAAAAAAATAGGCTTGCTTTCCTCCCCTCCTGCAGAAAAAAAGTTTTAAGTTGGTTTCTGAGCTGGAAAAATGAGGGTGAAAACCCTCCCGCGCATCGGGATATGAATTTAAAAAGGAGAAGGCAGCCCTGGGAACGTTAGAATATTTTTTCTTTTCTTTTAAGGCTGCTTTCCATTTCTGAAGGAATAAAAGGGGGATCACACACCGTCTGAATCTGGCAGAAGTCTGGGTAGGGTGCTTTCTTGTGACTCTTTTGCATATTGGAGGGGATAAATTCTATTAAAGCTGCCCAACAATGTGGGGAGCTGTCAATCAAAACCCTCCAGATCTGCTTTTCTGTCTGCTTCCTGTATATGGGTGACTAAGGGCGAATAGTATAGGTGTTCTGATTTTCATACAGCAAAGCTGTTTTAGGCCTCTAAATCTTTCTTTCTTTCTTTCTTTCTTTCTTTCTTTCTTTCTTTCTTTCTTTCTTTCTTTCTCTTTCTTTCTTTCTTCCTTCCTTCCTTCCTTCCTTCCTTCCTTCCTTCCTTCCTTTCCTTTTAAAAGCATTTTCAAACAAATCAAACAGCCACTCTCCAACTTTTTTTTCTTCCCGACCGTCTATTCGGGGAATCAAATCCGCCCGAACATTCCTCTTTCATATTATTTTTCTCGCGTTCCTAAAAGGACTCTTCCTATTACTTTTTATACATATGTCATTTATTCATCGATATACGAAGCTAATAAAATCCGGGATGTTTTAAAAGTTTGTCCAAACTATTAAAGAAAACGAAGCCTTTGCCCTATTTTCAAACCAGGATTCCCAACCCTCCGGGAGCCTTTCCCTGCCGGTTGATGAGCAGGAAAGCAGCCCAACTTCTCCGGTGAGCGCCCGAAGGTGGGTCTTTCCCCCTCTTCCGACGGCCTCCGAACCCCTCCCTTAACCTCCCTCTCCCCCCACCGCCGGCCCAGAAAAGTCGAAGAAGCGCAGAAAGATTCCCAGCCCGGGAAGGAAGATCTTTAAAAAAAGGCCCATCAACTATTGGCTCGAGGATCCGGTTGCTAGTGTTTTTTTTTTTAAAAAAAGCCGAAAAAGAGGGAAAGCGGGGAAAAAAAATAAGCGAAATCGCTCCTCTGAAAAACCGGGAGAGTTTTTCTTTTTTCTTTCTTTCTTTCTTTTTTTTTTGCACTAAAAAAAAAAGAAGGAGAGGAGAAAAGAAAAAAAGGAAGGAAACTGAAGCTTTGCAGGCTGGCTCTTCTGGCGGGGAAGCCGAGCGGGATCGGGTCCCCGCGCAAAGCTTTCCGCCTTCAAATCCGCTCCCGCTTTTGCAGTTGCAAGGAAGGGAACGGGGGGCAGTGGGGGAGAAAGCCGGGGTTTTGGGGGGTCCGGGAGGGGAGGGGAGGCGCGTTCTTTTCCTTACCAGCTGCGGGAAGATGGGAAGCTCGGCCGCGTAAGGCAGGAAGGCCCCGTAGCCCTGAGCAGCCGCGGCTGCCGCGTAAGGCGCGCCGTACATGGAAGATAAAACGCCGCAGAGCGAACCGGCCGGGCTGAGGTCGGCCCCGTTGCGGGAACCGCCGCCGCCGCCGCCGCCGTTGTTCCCTTGGCGGTCCGTCGGGTAGAGCGGGCGGATGTACTGGTAGCCCAACTGGGAAAATGCCATGGCGGGGAGGGGGTGGGGGTTTGGGGGGGGGCGGGCGGGTGGGGAGGAGGGGGGGAGGAAGGGGGAAGGAGAGAAGGGAGGGGGGGGGGGAGGAAAGGAGGCGCCGAGGAGAAGCGCGAGAGAGGCGAGAAAGTTGCGGCCGGACAGCTTCGGCTCTCGGGCCCGGGGCTCGCTCTGCGCACTTTTACCGGCGCCGCGCGGAAAGTCTGCCCCGCATTGGCGAGGTCGGGGGGTGGGTGGGAGGGAAGGGGTGGGTGAAGGGGGTGGGAAGGGGAGAGGGTGGGGGGGGGGGTAGAGACCAGCAAGGCCGGGGGTGGGAGGGGGGTGAGACTGCTGCTCCTGCTGCTGTCTTCTCCTCTTTTTCTTCCTCCTCTTTTTCTTCTTCTTCCTCCTCCTCCTCTTCTTCTTTCTTTCTTTCTTTCTTTCTCCTTCTCTCGCTTTTCCACCGGCGCCCGCCGCGCAAAGCTCCCTCTATCCGCCTTCACTTTTCCTATTGATCTGGGATGGACTGCGGGTCAGGTCCGCGCAGGATTGCTGGGGACTTTCGTGGAACTCCCCGCCTTTGATTGACAAGCTGGAGTCGCGGCCCCTTAGGCCCCGCCTCTTTCTTTTCAGGCCGGCTGGCTGGCTGGCTGGCTGGCTCGGTTTACTCGTTGGGGCTCGCTGACTCTTCCCTCCCTCCCCCCCCCCGCCGCCTTTCCTTTCATGACGTCGCCGCCTTTTATTTGAGTGCTTTTCAAAATCGGCTTCCAGCCTCGCCAATCGGGTCGGCGGTGGTTTGCAAAGCTTCAGCCCTGCCCCGAAATCGGAGCTTAAAATAATAACAATGTTACGCTCCTATTATTAATGTTATGATTATTATTCTACTAATAATATTAACATTAATAATATTAGCCCCTTACTGGGAATCGAACTCCTTCTGAACGGGGGAAGAGAACGTGTAGGAGGGGGGAGGGGGGAATTGAGGAGGATGATTTATCACTAAAGTAAACCCGGGCAATTTGTTTTGTTTTGTTTGCTTGTAATAAATATCTAATTAATTCATTGACGTTTCTCTCCCACGCCTCCTCCTCCTGATTTAGCAATCCCAGCAAAATGTTAGTAACTCTCCTGCGATTCTGATCGCCTCTCCACTCCTCTGTCTTCCACGCCCGCCCCACAAGTGACTTGTGTCCCTTGTGTACCAAAGGTGGGGGTCGTTTTTCTAACGACCTGATACCATACGATAAATAATGAAAAACCAAGAGAGAGAGAGAGAGAGAGAGAAAGAAAGAAAGAAAGAAAGAAAGAAAGAAAGAAAGAAAGAAAGAACACACAGAGAGAAAAAGAGAGAGAAAGGAAGGAAGGAAGGAAGGAAGGAAGGAAGGAAACACACAGAGAGACAGAGAAAAAGACAGAGAAAAAGAAAGATAGAAAGAGAAAGAAGAAAGAAAGAAAACACACACACACACACACACACAGAGAGAGAGAGAGAGAGAGGAAGAAAGAGGAAGGAAGGAAGGAAACACACAGAGAGACAGAGAAAAAGACACAGAGAAAAAGAAAGATAGAAAGAGAAAGAAGAAAGAAAGAAAACACAGAGAGAGAGAGAAAGAAAGAGGAAGGAAGGAAGGAAACACACAGAGAGACAGAGAAAAAGACAGAGAGAAAAAGAAAGATAGAAAGAGAAAGAAGAAAGAAAGAAAACACAGAGAGAGAGAGAGAGAAAGAAAGAGGAAGGAAGGAAGGAAACACACAGAGAGACATAGAAAGAGAGAGAGAGAGAAAGAAAGAAAGAAAGAAAGAAAGAAAGAAAGAAAGAAAGAAAGAAAAAAAAGCGAAAATCAGCGTTCCCCCTATTTAACGGAGTTTCCAAGACACGTAATATGCCACATTTTTAACCTCAAAGGTGAGAAAAGTCCACAAATTAATTAAAGGGGGAAAAAAGAAAGAGAGAGAGAGACATCAGAAAAGCTCAGTGGGTCCCTGACAAACACCTCCTACGGAAAAGAAACGGTGGGACGGCCACATCCACGCGCGCAGAATGGTTCTCGGCCTGTCCCGACTTCTTAAAACTGTTGGGACTTGGGACTGTTGTCTCTAATTAGGATATTTATAAACTGTTTTTTCCCTCTTCCTCCAGGTGTCAAAGATGCCACCAGAGCCCCTGCTGGGACTTCAGAAGGACCAGCCTGAAAAATGGAACCATTTCTCGCCAGAAGGGCAGACTTCGAGGGGGAGGCGAAGAATCTCAGATCCCTTGCAAGCGGGCCTATTTCACGCGAAGGGATTCGCTCCGAATCAAGTCCCACGCGTGTTCAGGGGGGGCTTTAGAGTCCCATTTACCGGAATCTAGGAAATCGGCTTTTAAGCGCCTGAGCGTAGATAGAGTCAACGCCGAAACTTGGAGAAAATCTCCATAAATTGCCCCGTGGTTCTTTTCTCTTCCCCTCGGAAAGTGGCGTCCCTCGAGATTCCTTGCCTTCTCGTGGAACTGCGTGTTTGTTTGGGTTTTTTTTTTTTTTTAGGAAAAAGAAGCCAGCCTCTTGAATATTCACCGGCGCCCACAGACAAGACGGCTTTTCTATTTCGGCTAGAATATAATTACAACCACCCAAAATATAGGTCAGGAGGTTTAGCTGCCTTCGCGGGCGTTTCACGCAGGCAGGGGAGACAGGGGAACGCCCACGCGGGTGCACGCGAGACGCATCTCTCGGTCTCTGTCTGTCTGTCTGTGTCTTTTCTTAGCTAAGTTCGGGGACTTTATATTCCAGGGAATCGGATGAATTGCCCCGACATATAATTCCTCATCTTTTCTTTTCTTTTCTTTTCTTTTCTTTTCTTTTCTTTTCTTTTCTTTTCTTTTCTTTTCTTTTCTTTTCTTT